AATAAAGATAAGGTGTCAGCGATAACATTGGACTTTTCTTGAATATGACGTAGGTATTTCAGAAGTAAATTAAGCAATAAATTCTTAGAAATAAAATTGACTTGGGCTTTTTTCTGAAGAGCTGTAAGGAGTTTATGGCCAGTATAGATGGTAAAATCTAGCATTCTGAAAAATATCTAAAATGTAAGATGGATGCATAAGTATTTAACAATTCACGATCGAAAGTAGAGTACTTTCTTTAGGTTCCAGTGAATTTCTTTGAAAAGTAAGCTATATGTTACCATATCTTGTTTTGCATCTGTTCTAGTACAGATATAACCTGTCGGGACCCAAATTACCAACACCCCAATTCGCTTGTCGATAAATTGGCCTGTCGGTAGAATGTTCTAACGGCAAATTGTTCTGTCGATCAATTGTCCGGAACCGGTCAAAAACAGACTTCTTGACCAGATCGCTCTGTATTGTCATATTTAACCAATTAAAATATAATTGTACAGAATGGTAAAAAAGATTCCTCCAAATCCGCTACATCTCTGTGTTAGACCACGTAGTTACTGAACAATCTTCGTATGGAGTACATGTTTAAGGTTCAATAAAAAATTTTTAATTAACTAAATTTGTAGAATAAATTAATTATTATCTTTTTAGTATATACCTACTGGATTTTTCTACAATAAATAAAATTATGACCTCCTTTGATAAAAATACGATAGAACGACCCAAATACCGCGACCTTAGTCTTATCTTAGCTCAGCAGGGGACTCCAGACTCCGATAATTAAAATAACGCTAATCTTTTAAGTATGGTTGTACTAATAAATTTACTTTAGGTCATATTTTTAATTTTGGTATTTGCAGATTTATTTATCTATATAACTCCATTCGACAATGTAATTATGTATTGGAATATAGTCAGTAGTCGAAATTAAATCATCTAAATCTAAGTAATTAATACAAATTAATTTATAATATAAAAACCTTTTTTTATCAAAAAATCTGTCAATTTTATTTTAAAATCGTAAATAGTTATGCAGGATTTGATGTCCTCTAGCAATTTATTGAAAATTCCAAGTATATAGTGTGTCTCAGATTCGCTTCTCTATACAGGGATCTCGGCTCCTATTAAATGGGAAAAGTTTTAGAGAAAATTTAGTGCATTTGACAACCGGCTTCAGATTTACGATCGGTCAGTTGATTATGGAAATATCGGCGAAAAATCGAAAAAGGCGAATTTCTTTTTTCGCTTGTAAATCCACGAGTGGATCATCACAGTAAAAACTTTTGGCGTTATTTGGCTTTTGCATTCATGACGTCATTATTTTGCGACGGAGCACGGAGAGCAACGAAAACAAACGACAGCGACAGTGTAGTGACTGGCTATATGGTTGCCAAATGGTGACTGCTGCAGTGCAGTCCCAGAATACGGATTTATTTTGGGGTGCAGTGCCAAAGTGCCATATATTTAATTTTAATAAATTTTTGTTTAATCCAATCTTTATTGTTAATTACATTTTGGCACTGGTATGTACATGAAGGTTTAGATGAATGTATTTCAGTATCTACAACATTAGAACTATGTTTTTTCTTGAAATGCTCGTTTATAGTGATGCCGCGAGACGAGAGATTCTCGTCTCTCGTCTCGTCTTGTCTCGTCTCGAACGAGACGAGAGAGACATTTTCTCTCGAAAACAGATTCGAGACGAGAGAGTGTTATCTCTCGACAAGAATTTCTCGTTTCTCTCCAGCTCTCTCGAACAATTTTCTCTTTGCTTATTTGAAATTTTCATTTGCTTATCGTAACTTAAAATTTTAACATATTAGATTTTGAGATAGTCAAAAAGTTGAGTATAACACACCTATTTTATATATATTAAATGGTAACAAATGATACTTGTGTTATTAGGATTTTATAAATATTTATTTATAAAAAAAATTTCTCATTTCATTTATTTAAAATTTATACAATCATTTCTTATATTTAATCCATTCTGCTTTTCTGAGGTTACTTTTAAGATAAGTTGAAAATTTTTAAGGGTTTTTTCGAAAAACTATCAAAAAAAAAGATAATATAAACAAATGTACAGTGAGGGCGAAAATTGTACCGTCCTCTCTATTTTAACTTCTAAATAAAAAAAAAAAATAATGACGAAACAAAAACGAAGTAAAACTCAAGAGATATTATATTTTTGTTATAACGAGATGCACTTTACTTGAGACACGTAAGATAAAGGAAGTTACTAGCTTTAAATTTTCTAATGGAAAGTAGGGTCATGTGATACCTCATTTGAAAGATATTTTCTATATTTTTACGTTCATGTAAACAGATTTAGGTTTTTATGTTTTTACAGAAATTACATTAAATAAATTCATAAAGCAGGTTAAATTCTTTTTTTATTTACTGTTTCAACCTCAAAGAATCATTACAGGAGGTATAATACCTTATAAATGCTATTTTTTACAATAGTACACAATGTATAATTAACATTTTGGCTAGAACAGAGTAAATGTTAGTATCTTTTGTAAATTTAAGTAATTTTTTAGTGTTAGAGGGATTTAACACTGCACAAATGGCAATTTTTTGTAGCTGGTACTTTGTTCTTATACAGATATGTTCTGGGCCTTTATTAATAAGTTACATTATTGATAACTCTCGTATTATTGTTTATTACTAAGGAAACTCTTCTTGTATTTACTAAAATAAATAAATTAAGAATATCAAAGGTGATTTTAAAACTACTTGACTTATTAAATTTTTCATAACTTCTTGCCAAAAAAAGCTTATTAAAAAATTCTCTTCTAACATTATCTCACATATCTAGAAATATTGCGGACACGAGGATTATCAAGAATGTAATTTTGTATAAGCAAAAAAATTAAAACTGTTTGCTTGGACGTAAATATCAAAATATCTTTTAAATGAGGTATTACATGACTTTACTTTCCATTAGAAAATTTAAAGATAGTAACGCTCTCTATTTTACGTCTTAAGTAAAGTGCATCTCATTATAACAAAAATATCATAATGTTTCTCTAATTTCACATCGTTTTTGTTTATGTCTCTATCTTCTTGCATTTTGAAAACATACTACAAAATGCTTTCATTTGACATCCCAGGATTGCATTAGAAAAATTCTAACTACCAATTTAATCTCTTTCCCCCCTCCCCAACTGACTTACAAAACAAAATATTTTCGTTTTTAGTTAACGCATAATCTGGGCCACTTATTACTTCAAATTTCATTTGTAAAACGACTGTGACAGACAGAGAGACATAAAGTGTTTCTTATTGCCAAATTTAGGTTCTAATGCGCAAAAATTACTTGAAAAATTCTTTGTTTTTGTCTCACAAATTTGACCGTTTTTTCATGTTTCGTCTTTTTCAAATTTAAATTTGATATTGTTTTATCACGAGAGAAACGAGACGAGACAAGACGAGAGAAAGGCTCTCTCGAGCGAGAGAAGCGCCTTCTCGTCGAGACGAGAGAAAAGTTTTCTCTCGCCCTACGAGACGAGACGAGAGAGGCCACTCTCTCGTCTCGTCTTGTCTCGCGGCATCACTACTCGTTTAAATATTTTTGTAAAGAATAACACTTTCCACATTCTTTACATTTAAACTGTTTTTCTTCATTATAATGTACCTTAAATTGATCTCTTAATTTTCGCTTGGAAGTAAAAGCTTCATTACACTTTTCACATTCATAAATCACTTGTTTTAAGAGGTTATGAACATTTTTATCATGTTTTTTTAATGCCTGTTGGACCTGTAAGTTTAGTTATCACACGCGTTACACTTATACATAGTTAATATTTTTTTACACGTAGCTAAAGATCAAAGAAAATGTGAAAATAGAGGTATTTATTTACTTTTATAACCTTAATAGAATAACACGGAAAATGAAATGTCACTAAATCCCGCCCACCCAAATGTGACGTCATGGATGCAAAAGCCAAATAACGCCTAAAGTTTTTACTGCGATGATCCACTCGTGTAAAACCGAAACGAATAATTTGACATCTGTCAAAATGTGACAGTATTCGGACACTTTTTTAAGATGAAATAGAAAGCGTGAATGACATGTCTCAATTGTATTTTATTATCCCGCAATCCGCCTCAACCTTCATTTTTCTTATAGCCCCCACATTGGATTTTTAGATTTTTTGGAAAGACCGAAAAATGTCCAGTCTTGTAGTGTCGCACAAGTGCCTAAAAGATTTGAGTATCATCGAAATAGCACACTTCGTTTTTTTTCTAAGGAGGCCATGATTTATTTGTCAGAAAATAGGGAAAATTGGGTAATATATTACTAATATTTAAAAGTTATGGACTTTCCAATATTTTTCATGATATTTAAAACCTAAAACGTAAAATACAGTCTTTTTGCTTAATTACAGGAAACGTTTGTTAGATTTAAAAACGACATTTGCAACCGTGCTAATTCCAGACATACGTTTTATTAAACTCATCGTGTTACGTATTTGTTGACATTATGAGAGTGACGTCTTGTATTACTTCGAATAATACGAAGTTTTCTAACTTAAATAAATCGAGAAAAAAGTTGAGTTGGGTCTTAAATCCTATTTGTTATTCCATTGACAATAGAAATGACGTCGCTGTCATTTTTATCATAAATATAGTATATAGTTCAGTGTTTGAAGGTAAAAATAGATTTTCGAATTCTTTCGGGTTACACCGATATGGATGAAAGTTTGTAATTAAACTTATCTTACCTTCCTCCTCAAAAGCTATGTATTACTGATTTGCGCTTTTTATTTTTAAGGGTTCATAGGTTGTTACTCTTTCTAGTGTTATGTCTTTATATTTTATTTCTATCATCTTTCTGTTTTTCGTTTGCAATCATTACTTTGGTTTTGGTTTTATCTATATTTAATTCCATTCACATGTTTTCTATCTCCCATGTCAATAAGTTTATTAGTTTTTGCATTTTATTTTTTGATATTGCTATCAGTACCAATAACACCATGTCTTATGATTGATTCCAGTATATGACATAAGCGACTACCGTCGCAGCCACATGAAACAATACGACTCTCACGAAATGTTCCGAGCAGACAACCTCCCGGCGTGGCGTTTGCGACAACAGAGCTTCCGCGAAGCATTGGAAGACGCCGCCGCTTGGCTGCAACAACCGCGCCACAACATCGCCATCTTGGACGGTCCGAACGTCTCCAGATCACAACGCCAAGAAATCTACGATCTCATCTACACGCAACTCGGATTCCGGGTGATGTTCATTGAATGCGTGTGCGAAGACCCGGTGCTGTTGGAGAGGAACTTCAAGGAGATATTGCAGTACAGTTCAGATTATGGGGACATGGCTACAGAGGAAGCGCTGAAGGATTTGACGCACAAGATGGCGCATTACAAGGCACAGTACGAATCGCCGACGTTGGGTAGTTTGTGGGAACTGCCGTGTCCGATGGTCAAGGTGCTGGATGGTGGTGAAGGCGGTATCATTGCGCACGGAGTCAACGGGTCCAAAGAGAGCAAGATTCTGGCTTATATTTCGACCGCCAAAAATTATCAGCAGACGTTGTATTTCAGCAGGGTAAGTTATTCTTTTTATCTTCTGAGTAATTTGCATAAAAGATTAAATTTTAAATTTAAGATAATGTCATACCGACACTCCCATCGAAAAAGGTTGTAACTCAATTTTAGTGATTTTACAGGAGTGTCAGAAAACTAAAAATAGTTTTTTTAATAATAATTAACAAATAGTATAATTAGAATACACAAATATTTATTTTTAGTTTTCTGACGCTCCTGTAAAATCACTAAAATTGAATTACAACCCTTTTCAAAGGGGATGTCGATATGTGGGTTGTATTATTTGAAGGATTGTAGTATTGACATTGTATACATAAGTTTGAAGTTTGACTTCTAGGCAGAAATAATTAATTTGATCATTTATTCATCATTGTTTGTTGATAATATTTAGTAAACTTAGCAAAGTCTTTACCATTTTTAAGCTTGCTTACATTCATTTTATACTTTTTGAAGTTAAACGTCAATCCAATAATTAAATCATAATTGTTAATGACAACAAAATGATGGATCAAAAAATTTAAATGTAATTTCTACACAAAATATCTAGGAAGATTTTATAATCTAGAGATAATAAATATCCCTAAATAAAATGTATTTTCATGGATTTAAAATTGAATCTTCTTTTATGTAAGCCACTACTAGTTTAAGATTATTTATCATCTCCAAGAAAATTGTGCTTACCTATCTTTTTATTATTTAACAAAATACTGTTTGAGGGGGTATTTTACTCATTACAATCTTTTAAAACTAAATTCTTACTCAGTAACGTTCGTTCGAATCTACTACATTAATCACAAAAAAAGGAATTGTCTTGCTGATGAGTCCTAATAAGGACGAAACCGGTCAAAGAATAACGTTCTCCTTAGTAATCAAAATCAAATGTAGAGTGTTTAAATTAAATTTTTATCCCTGCTGTCTTTCCTTTGGATACTGTGACGAAGTCACTAAATTTTCCTATCATTTCAATATAAAATGATTAGTTCAAGTTAATATCCGCGCGTTAGCGTTTTCAAAACCCTCGTAATTTTTATTTCATAAAAATTTTTAAACATCTGCGAGAACCCCCGTAGTTCAAAATATACAGGATGACCCATCGAAAACGTACCGCAAGGCATTACAGGGTGGAAAAGAACTTTTCGGCGAAATCCAAAAACACGTCAAGTTTGTTTGTCAAGGGGACACCTTTTGACGCAAAAAGCATAGTAAAACCTTCAACCGCCTCAGTAGGGGTGTCATCCTTAAATTTTTTTCAAAGGGGTAGGGTGGTCCAGTATACCTTATTAAAAGGGTCTTGTCATTTCCTATAAAACGCTGCTGATTTTTTAACAATCGAGCCACTTGTTTAGAAAATTATGGAGCCTTGAAAGTTTAAAAATAATGTGTGACGGAAAATGCAAAAAACTTGCTTGAAACCTTGCCGTATTTTTGAAATTACATTAATTATTTCCAGATTTAAAATAAAACACTTCATTAACTCGGAACACTAAAACATTTGTTGCTATAATGGTATTTTGTTGTTTTTGCTGCTTTGCAGATTCTTTAGATTCTTTTTTGTTGGTAAAAAATGATCGGGTTTCTTTCTTTACGTTTAAATTAAAGTATTTGCTAGATACGTGTCTTATGGATAGTGTTTCAGTGTCATTGTGAACATTACATTCATCAATAATGGTGTACTCAATTGCAGAAAGAGTAGAAATATTGAGCTTTTTTTCAAAAACAATGAGTGTGGAAATCGAGTCGCGGAGCTGTTTAACCAATGGCATATTGATGTTCTGGGAAAATTGTTCGCGAATTGGTTGCAAAATTTCGCGAAACAGGTTCGGTTCACAACAAAAAGAGGAACCGTGAAAATCTAGCGTTAAATGAACCTACGGAGATAGTAGTATTGGGGCAAGTTACAGTGGATAGTACAAGACAATTGTCCGTTGCGACGGGTGTATCTCGTACAAGTTTCCAACGGGTATTAAAAAAATACAAATTCCCTTAGTACAAGAACAGAATGAAGACGACTTCGATCGTCGCTTGCAATTTTGCGAAATTATGAGTGAGCGAGCGTGGAATAATGATAATTTCCTATTTAATGTGTGTTTTTCGGACGAGTGTTCTTTCTTCTTATCCGGTTAAGTGAATTGCACACAACACCCCGAGAAGTTAAATGTATGAGCTGGTATTTTTGGAAATTCCATTGTAGTCCCTTTTTTCCTTCCTAGAAATTTAACAGGCGATAACAAATATCATAGAAAACGACCCCGTATACAACGAACACGAACTGATTTTCCAACAAGACGGAGCTCCTCCGCATTACTCGCTAAATGTACACAATTATTTAAATGACACATTTCCAGGACGATGGATAGGACTAAGGGGCGCAACTGAGTGGCCACGTCGGTCACCCGACTTAAGTCCTTTAGATTTTTTCTTGTGGGGACACATAAAAAGTGTAGTTTACAAAACTGCACCTGAAACATTAGAAGAGTTGCGAAGAAGAATCATTAATACATGTCGCGAAGTGACACCGCAAATGCTCCAAAAATGTACGGCAGTGGTTTGAAGATAACTTGTATCACTGTATGCAGATTGATGGGCAGCACTTCGAGCATTTACTTGACTAATACGTTAAGTATTGAATCGCTTTTTGCATTTTCTGTCACACATTTATTGTTTAACTTTCTAGGCTTCATTATTTTCTAAAGTAGTGGCTCGATTTTTTTAAACTCAGCAGCGTTGTATAGTGAATGGCAAGACCCTTTTTATGATGTATCACTTGACCCCCTTCCCTTTTGGTTGACACCCCTACTGAGAACAAACTGACGTATTTTTGGATTTCGACGAAAAGTTCTTTTTCACCCTGCAATGCCTTACAGTACGTTTTTGATGGGCCACTATGTAGATCATTCTTTACCTAAATTCGAATTAAGCTTTAAACGCTCAAATTTATGTAAATTATATGGTCACTTACGCAGATTTAAAAAATGACGTTTTTTTAGTGCTCTAGGAAGTAAATATTAGCTACTCCCATTCCGAACCACTCGTAAACCGTACCAGGCCTATCGTAAAGTATAAAGCCGCGATCCCCTCAATTTATCTCTTCGTAAAAGTAGTTTATCGAGGTTGTACCCCATAGAAAATAACCCATTTCGATAAGGTTTGCATAACTAGACAAACATGCTGAAGGTAAGATTTCACAAACGTAATAAACGGTATTATATAACTTTGTTTATTTCCGAATTGTTTGTAATGGTTAATGTTTAAACAAAAGCTTCATGTGGTAAATTTGTATCTACATAATTCACATTAAAAAGAAAATTTTATAAGATTGTGTATACAAATGTATAGATTAATACTATTTGGACGATTTTACTTGATTTTACATTAATTAATTTCGTTTGCATCAAAAAATACTTATTAATTTTATTACCTAAGACAGCATTCATCATTTGTAGATGTAATATCCTCGATTATCAAAATTAATAATCGATTATTTGAGATTAATCGATTATTTGAGTTTAATCGATTATTTGAGTTTAATCGATTATTTGAGATTAATCGATTATTTTCAATTAATCGATTATTTTCAATTAATCGATTATTTTCAATTAATCGATTATTTTCAATTAATCGATTATTATCGATTAATAGATTACTTTATAATAATTGACTATTTTCAATTGACCGATTAACCGTACTTTCAGCGATAAACACATTTTACCTCTATCTGCGTTAATTTTCGTCTCGTTACGCGCTGACAGCTGTCAAGATGCAACTAAGAATTGGCGAAAAGATAAATTATATTATATTAAAAAAACAAAAAAACAAAATCGGCAAAATTTTGTACGTTTAGCTCAATTTGGCTGAGAAAACTTTTTCAAAATTCGCTTGAATAAGATTTTAAAAAATACGTCCTGAAAGTTTACAAAAAATCATGGTCTGCCACGGAAACAGTTATTACTTCTGAATTACTAAATTAATTTTATAAAAATCGAATCAAAAATAAGGGCTCTAGACGTATTCGCAGTTTTGTGGGTATCCGGATAGCTCTTATCAATCAAAAGTATAAGAATTGCGTGACATTCTTAGACGATTTGGCCGAGTGGTTAAGCAGCTAGCACAGGTACTGCAGGATATTTCTTTTATTCAATTTTTCTTTGGTTCGTTTAATATTTTTGACCTTATGTTCTTTCAGCACGGCGAAAGCGAATTCAACGTGATCGGAAAAATCGGCGGCGACGCTAGACTGTCGCCGAGAGGCCGATTGTACGCCAAAGCTTTAGCGAATCACATCCACGCGCTGAACCTACCCGGTCTTCAAGTATGGACGTCCACTTTGTACAGAACCAAAGAAACGGGAGCGGGCATCAACGTCCCGCAACAACATCTGCACGAATTGGACGAGATTTGGTCGGTGAGTTAACGTTTTTTTTTGTTTCCATATAAATAAGTATTTCTGTTAAAAACACAACATATTTTTAATCGTAAATAAATACTGAATACGCTTCTTTATTAGACACGAGCCATAAATAATACACCACTATTGTGACTCCAAATTTCACACAGGTGTTTGAACAACGATCCGAAACCAGTCATTGACACCAAGATTCTGCGCAATAGATTATTTAAACCGCCAAATTCATACTGCGCACAATTCTGGTATCAACGACTGGTTTCTGATCGTTGTTGGAACAGACCCAGAGTCACGCCACATAAAACCTGCCAAAAGATGAACCTACGTTGGACAAACTCTGATCAGATGACGTGGCTTAACAAATCGCGTCTCTAAAGTTCATCAGAAGCTTTGAAAACTACGTAAATATATTCTGAGAAAAAGATAATTTGCATATTGTTGTAAGCAAATTTTGCAACACACAAACAAATCAAATTTAAATAAGGAATTTTGTGAAATTAAAAATTATTGTGTTGTCGAATCAAAAAAAAGTAAACACGAATCGATTAATAGAAATGCGTTACCAGCTATTGATAATAATAATAATAATTTTTAGTTAGCAATAATAATAATAATAATAATAATAAGGGGGGTGGGTGGCTCAGTGGTAGAGTCTCTGCCTGCAGGTTGAAGGGTCCCAGGTTCGAATCCAACCGTTGGCCGCGATTTTTTTAATTTAATTTAATTATTTAAAATTAATTCTGATGCCTTCGTAGGATTCCCCACTTGACCATTCACTGTTGGGTTCTAATTAACAGTGCTGTTCCTAAAGTGACGCTGGGAAACAGTAACAAAGCCTACACAGAACACGAGGCTAATAACCTTAGTAGTTGATGCCGATGACATCCAATTAAAAAAAATAATAATAATAATAATAATAAACTTTATTGTCCAACAAATAAATATATAACATAATATCATTTCATACCAAGAATAAATAATAAATCTAATAGATAAATAATAATCTTAGCCATGAAACATAAATATAAATATTTTAAAATTAATAATACACAAAAAGATATAAAAAATAATAATAAGACAGGATACATTTCAACTATTAATAATTGATAATTTTTGTATGACTTTTTTTGAGATTTGTGAAAGCTTTTCAAAAAACAGATCACAATTAATACAGTAAATATTGACATTATTACACATAACAAAAATTGGCGACTTCAATAAAATGTTGGTTCTAGGAGTAGGCAACGAAAACGTTTCAGACTCACGCGCATTTAATCTTGGAACTAAAAACATAACTTGTTCAAGAAGCAATGGACAAACAGTTAGGTCATGCATAATTTTATAAATAATTGAAATTGACATTGACAAGTGCTTGAATGGCAAATCGGTTTCGCAAGACTTGCTCGTTAAAACCTCGAGGAGGATATACGCCGACTCTATAATTGAGAAATTTTAAGAACTTTCGTTGCACACTTTCTATGCAGGTTTTTTGGGCCGCTGTTTTTGGATACCAAATTAAGGATGCATATTCAAGTTTAGAACGCACTAAAGCAAAATACAAAGCCTTGAGAGAAAGAAAGATCGGTTATGAACTTCCGACAGTTTCTAATTAAAAACCCAAGTGTTTTATGTGGCGCCTTACGAATTGTTTCAATATGATCGTTGAAGGTTAGCTTTGAGTCAAAAATAACACCTAAGTCTTCAACTTTGGAATATCTGCACAAAACTTCACTGTTTATTATATAATTAAAGTTTATTGGGTTCACTTTTCTAGTCTAAGTTATAGTTTTACATTTTTTAATGTTAAGGAATACATTATTGCGCCTACACCAAACTAGTAGGGATCTAACTGCTCCTGAAGAAATAGACAGTCATATATGTCAGAATTTTTGAAAAAGAGCTTTAGATCATCTGCAAACAAGAGTTTTGGACAAGAAATGAAATTCGTAATATCGTTGATAAAGAATAAAAAAAGTAAGGGTCCTAAATTAGAACCTGTGGGTACCCCTGACGTAGCGAAAAATAGTTTTGATAAGAAGCCATTATAGGTTACATATTGTTTTCTTAGTGATAAATAGGAAAGAAAGAACATTTGCATTGATTTTGAAAAACCGAGCTGACTTAATTTGTTAGCAATTATTATATGGTCAATCTTATCGAAAGTCTTTTCAAAATCATTTAAGCTAACATCTGCTTGTCCACAGTCATCAGGGTTTCATGTAAAAATTGTGAGAAGCAAGATAAATTTGTCACAGTAGATCTATTTGCCATGAAACCATGCTTGGGTAATAGGATATTTAAGAAAATTAATTTAAAAACAAATTAGCCTCTTGTAGCTAAAAAGATACAAAAAGGTTTAAAATAAAAATTATAGAGTTTTATAGTCTATATAATAGGACCAGAGGCTGAGTACCCTGAATGGCATTAGTTAGTTACTTGTGTACGTTTTATTTTCTTATTTCATATGAAAGCTAAATGACAGTTATTCACCCGTATGAATAAAAAAGAGCATTTGCTTTTCCTCGCAAAAGCTGAAGTAAATGCTGCAAGTGATATAAATAAAAATTTCAGCAAAAGGTCTTACTCATAAGTAAAAGCAAATGCTTCATGAAAAAGTGAATACTTCTTCTCGTATGTATGAATAAAAGTGAGTATGTACTTTAAATTGCAAGCATTTACTTCTCTTAAAATGCATCTAGTTCAGAGCAGATGCATGAAACGAGTTCTGTGTACTAATTAGTTGTTTAAATGTAGTCAAAGGTGGCGGTTGTGTTTATAGTATCTTAAATGAGTAAAACCAAATTTGGTAGATTTTCACAAAACTTTTATTTAAAAAAAAAAATTAAAATTAAAAAATTAAAAACACTACACATGACATGTTTCGAAGTACAACTTCTTTTTCAAATCCAAATTCAAATTCATTTTGCGTTTTTTTCAAGTACATTTGGCTTCTCTAGTACCTCCTTCGCAATAAACAACAACTGATTGGTACCATCGTTTCCTACATTACTGCCTTCGTCCATACTTATGTCCCCTTCACTTTCTGACATTTTGCAGACAACTCACAAAGAATCTCTGATTCATAAGACACGCAATTAATTTTTTGGCATGTTTTTCAAACAAGTTTCTACAGAAATATCTAGTCGTCTCCCTTCACGCGTCCATGGCAATGCATGATAGTATTATGATAAATATCAGTCGCACCTTTTACTTCTTTTTTTTTTAAGTATATGCTCGCAAGTAAGAGGTTTTCATTATTCATATGGTACGGAGTATATGCTTTTACTTCTACCTTTTACTTGAAGCACTTGCTTATACTTATACCTTTTCCTTTAAAGCAAATACTCTATTTTTATTCATACGGGTAATTGTATAGGATCCGAAGTAAGGCCGACCCTCACCCATCTGTTTAACGGATGAAAGTATTTTTTTATTAGATAAAATATGTTTATAAATATACCGCAAATGGGTTGCCTGAGAAAATACTGCAACTTCTATTTTTTACTTTCCTTTTTGTATACAGATAAGGAAAGAATAGGAATCATGATAAAAGTTGCTTGTAATGTCATTCTCTATAATTTGGGTCCATACATGATTTCCCTAAAATCGACCGTATTCGAGATATTTGAGGAAAAGTGCAAATTTCGAATTTTGAAGATAACTCAAAAACAGATAAGAGAAAAACCAAATTTTAAACTTAAGCTTTAATCCATCCTGCGGTAGCTGATTAAATTTTGAGCACAGTCGAATCTTCTGGGGAATAATTTATAGGGTGTCTTTTTTTTACTGTAAGAAAGTAAATAGTCTGGACAGTATTTTCTTAGGCAACCCATTTGCGGTATATTTATAAACATAATTTATTTAATAAAAAACACTTATTTGTTAAACAGATGGGCGAAGGTCGATCTTAAACTATTTGGAAATACATTTATTTCATAATCGTTGATTTCATACACTTTAAATTGATATGTATGTCAATCATTTTGACATTTTTACTTTTTCCTTTTAATTGAATGTATAATATTCTTTTCTCTAATTTGTAAAATATCGGAGACATTGCTAGTAAACAACATTCTGTATAATGATTATGAAAAAATGGTCAATGACCGATATTAATGAGATTTTTGGGTGTCGAAACATTTGGATAATCAAATGGGAGTCACGTATGACATTGATCAATGTCAAATTAGCATTGGTCCAGATTAAGGTTCATATTATTTATAAATCGAACTCGAGTCTGTCAGGTGAGTTCGTTCTCGAATGAAAATCGAATTTCGATTAAATCTCGGGAATTTAGATTCGTAAATATACTCTGTATATTTACTAATTTCTATCTCTAAATTCCAAAACTGGTATCACCTGGAACTGTATATCAGTTATAACCGAACTTCGATATTCGTTCAAGAATGAACGCACCTGAGTCGGACTCAAGGATTATATATCGGGTGTTCCAAAATTAGATGTAAATATTTTAACAGCGTATTATACAGGTGAAAATAAGGTAAAAAGTTTTCATAAACATATATCCACAAATGCCTTATAAGGGAGCAACGCCTCTTTGAAGGGAACCCACTGAATATGGTTTCCTGACGATATTTTCTAAACCAATACCGATAAATACAATTTTGAATTTCTCTTAAAATTGATGTTCTGAATGCGAGAATTAGTTCAAAAACTTTATCCTTTTAACTGGTACATCACAACTAGGAAATAATGGTCTAAAAAAAACTAATATTTTTTATCCTCTACATATTATTTTTAAGACTAGACCTATAAAATTTAACAATTTTTACCACAGAAAAATACTCTTTGTTTACTTTGATAAGATTGATAGTTTTCCAGGAATATCGCTCCAAAGAAATCGATATAGATCAATAATTCAGACAATAAATTTAAAACTCTATGGTAACTAATAAATAATGAAATAGGAAATAATAATAAAATAAATTAGAATTTTAAATTTATAGAGAAACATTTAATAACTATTTTGTAAATCATTT